CTGCTGCTGCTGCTGCTGCTGCTGCTGCTGCTGCTGCTGCTGCTGCTGCTGCTGCTGCTGAGCAGCAGCAGCAGCAGCAGCAGCAGTTTTTTCCCGTTTTTTGGGGTTTTTGCATGTTTTTGTGTGGATTTTTTCGAGCATTCTGGAACTGAAGTCCATTTTGCGTTGTTTGAGGCATTTAAAGTTCACTAAAAGCCTTTTTTCAGTTCATAAAATGCCTTTTCGGACTTGTGTTTTTTTTTAAGTTGATGAGGCGCTGCGGACTTGTGTTCAGTTCTCGTTCGAAATGCCGGACTGGGGCCACGTGTCCGAGGAGGCCAAGGACTTGGTGCGCAAAATGCTGACTTACGACTCCAGCAAAAGAATTTCTGCAGAAGAGTCTCTTTCTCATCCTTGGATAATTAAATTCTCTTCTCAAAAGGACTCCGACATGCCCAAACACGCCCTCACCGGCGCCCTCGGAAACATGAAAAAATTCCAGTTCGTCTTTTTTTTTTCGTCTTTTTTTCATCTTTTTTCGCTTTTTTCCAACTTTTTGTTCACTCTTTTTGTTCTCTTTTTTCTTCTTCTGCTTTCTTTGTTCCTTTCTGTCTCTTTCTGTCTTTTTGCGTCTCTTTTTGACTTTTTGTTTTTTCCTTTTGTCTCTTTTGACACTTTCGGTGGCTCTGGGCGCTTGCGGGGTCTTCGGGGGTCTTCGGGGCCTAGCTAGCCAGCTAGCTAGCTAGCCAGCTAGCCAGCCAGCTCTCCAGCTAGCTAGCTAGCTAACCTAGCTAGCTAGCTGGCGAGCTCGCTACCCACCCAGCCACCCAGCCAGCCACCCAGCCAGCCACCCAGCTAGCCAGCTAGCCAGCTAGCCACGCAGCTAGCCAGCTAGCCACGCAGCTAGCGAGCTAGCTAGCCAGCTAGCTAGCCAGCTAGCCAGGGGCGGCGTGCGCGCAGGTCGACGCAGAAGCTGGCGCAGGCAGCCATGCTGTTCATGGGCTCGAAGTTGACAACAGTGGAAGAGACAAAAGAGTTGACAACAATTTTTCGAGCGCTGGACAAAAACGGCGACGGCCAACTCGACCGCAAAGAACTCATCGAGGGATACCGCAAGCTCCTCGACGTGCCAAACCCTAAACCCTAAACCCTAAACCCTAAACCCTAACCGTAGCGCTAGCGTCAACGCTGAGCGCTGTTGACTAGTTTGTAGCAGGGTGGGGAGGAGTTGGGGGCGGGGCTGGACACCGTAAACCCTAAACCCTAAACCCTAGGTGCTAAACCCTAAGAAGTTCTAAACCCTTTTTCGGGGTTTGTGCTCAGTGGAAAGGAGAGTCCGGGGAGGTTGACGAAGCCACCATTGAAGCAGAAGTAGACCAAATACTCACAGCCGTGGACTTCGATAAAAACGGATACATCGAATACTCAGGTCAGTCTAGGGTTTAGGGTTTAGGGTTTAGGGTTTAGGGTTTAGGGTTTGGGGTTTAGGCTGCGCTGTGGCAGTGTTTGTTTGCATCGACAGTTCCTAGTGCGCCTCCATTGATTCTATCCCTTTTAATTTCCTTCTCCCTTGTGCTGCTGCTGCTTCTGCTGCTTCTGCTGCTGCTGCTGCTGCTGCTGCTGCTGCTGCTGCTGCTTGTAGAGTTTGTCACTGTGTGCATGGACAAGCAGCTGCTGCTGTCAAGGGAAAGGCTGCTGCAGGCCTTCCAGCAGTTTGACAGCGACGGCTCAGGAAAAATCACAAATGAAGAGCTAGCCAAGGTGCCCAAACCCTAAACCCTAAACCCTAAACCCTAAACCCTAAACCCTAAACCCTAACGCTCTTGAGGGGCTGCTGCAGCAGCGCGCTGGCCTGCTGCAATCGAGCGAGTGGCGGTGTACTTGCTCGAAGAAGCAAATAGTTGAAGGAGCATCCGCTGCTGCTGCTGCTGCTGCTGCAGCAGCTGCTGCTGCTGCTGCAGCAGCAGCTGCTGTTGTATGTACACCTGGAGAGCCGATTTGCATGCGTTTCTTTCCGTCTTTTTTGCGTTTTTGTTTTTGGAACATCGGCGATTGATTTGAATTGATTTTAATTGGATTTAAAATCAATTAAATGTCTAAAATTGATTTAATTCGGACTTTATCTTTTTTTCAGCTTTTCGGCATCACTGCCATTGACGACAAGGCCTGGCACGAGGTGCTCGCGGAGTGCGATAAGAATAACGACGGAGAGGTGAAGAACAAATTTCGATTTTAATTTGAAAGAAATTAAAATTAAAATAAATTTTAAATTTATTTAAATTGTATATTTATTTATTAAATAAATTTTAAATAAATTTATTTAAATTGTATAATAAAAATAAAATAAATTTTAATTTTGTATTATAATAAAAAGCAATTAAAAGACTGGAACAGTATTAGACTGCAGTCTACATATATTGAAGGGTTATTTTGCGGAAATAGTTCAGAGATCTTTCTTAAAAGGAAATTAAAATATAAAATTTAATAAATATATATATGCGGAAATACCTTTAATTATTTAATTAAATAAATGGTGAAGAAATAAAACCGAAAAGTAGTCCAAAGATTGTTGCAGCTGGGAGCTGTCTGTACACCCGAATATGAACTTGTTCTTGGAGTTTTTTTCGCCTTTTTTGGACTTTTTGGATTTTTTTTTTTATTTTTCTCGTTTTGATTTTATTTTGACTTTGTTTTGACTTTGTTTGGCTTTGTTTTGCTTTTTTTGTTTTGTTTGGGTGTTCAGGTCGACTTTGACGAGTTTGTTGAAATGATGCAGAAGATTTGCGACGTAAAAGTGCGCAATTGATTTCTTTGTCTGTTTTTCGGCTTTTCTCAAGATGAACTTATTTCGTTATTTGTCACTAAGGCATTTTAGGCCGTGCAGGCGCTGCCTCTTGTTGGGGCCTTTCAGCCCCTTTCTTTTGTAGCATTTGCTGCTGCCCCGCAGCACTAAAGACCCTTTTGTTCTCTTTCTCTCTGTCCAAACAAATCCGTCCACAACCAACAAAGAATGACCCAACAGCACTCGGGGGCCCCTCACCGCGGCCCTCCGGGGGCCCCCAGGGGCCCCCAGGGGTCCCGGGGGCCCTCGGGGGCCCTTGGGGGCCCCCCGCGGCCCTTCAGGGGCCCCCAGGGGCCCCCGGGGGCCCCCAGGGACCTTCTAGGGGTCTCGGGGGGCCCCTAAAAGGCAGAGCGAGGGCCTCGGAGGGCCCTGTAGGCGGTCTTCTTTGGGGGGGCCCCCAAGGGGCCCCCAGAGGGATACCCGCTTAGAGGGGCCCCTAAAGAATTTGGACTTCCTGGGGGCCCCCTAGAGAGGGGCCCCCCGTGGTTGCCTGTAGCGTCCCCTGGAGCCACAGAAACAGTTTCTTCACGCATTGCTTGTCCCTGGAAAATCTAGTGCTGGGTCTGTTGTCCTAGCTAGCTAGCTAGCTAGCTAGCTAGCTAGCTCTAGCTCGCGTTGGTCGTCGCTGGAGAGTCTAGTGCTGGGTCGAGGCCTAGAGCTATTATTCAGAGTGGTTAGCTAGCTAGCTAGCTAGCTAGCTAGCTACCTAGCTAGTTGGCTAGCTAGCTAGCTAGCACTTACTAGGATTTAATGTTATGCCACGTAGAATACCTGATTATCCTGACTACATAACTTATCTGAATACGACTAGCTAGCTAGCTAGCTGGCTGTGGTTCGCTTTCCTTGTCTCTGGTGAGTCTAGTGCTTAGTTTGGATGTAGGGCTGCTGTTGATTAGGGTGGCTAGTTAGCTAGCTAGCTAGCTGTTTAACTAGGTAATTAAGCAGCAAGCTGACTAGCCACTGCCTGGCTGGCTAGCTAGCCAGCCAGCTCGTCGGCTAGCCAGCCAACTAGCTGGCTGACTAGCTACGCAGCTAGCTAGCTAGCTAACTAGCTAGCTAGCGTGTTGTTCCTAAGCGCTATTACTGGACCCTTCTACGTGTTGAGTGGGAGGGACTCGCGGTGTACGTACACCTCAGCAGGAGCGGTGGAATGAGAAAATGGAGTTTGGAGCTGCTTCGGGTCTCCGAGAGCAGCAAAAAGGCGTTAAGTTGCTGCTGCAGCAGCAGTAGCAACTAAGCAGCAGCAGCAGCAGCTGCTGCTGCAGTCGCTGTTGTCGTGGTGCGGGGCGCTGCGGCTGCGGCGCTGCAGCAGCAGCAGCAGCAGCAGCGGGGGGTGTGGGGCGCGGGGTGTACGTACAGCTGGCAGCTCAGGCCTCGACAGTGAAGGAAGCGCCCTGCTGCTGCTGCCCCCTGAAGGTGCTGAGCTGCTGCTTGAGCTGCGCAATGGCAGTTTGCTGCTGCGGGAGTTGCTGGATTTCGTGCTGCAGCAGCTGTTCGACTGGGGTGTACGTACACCCGGTGGCCGCGGCGAGGAAGGCGCTGGTGCAGCAGCCAGCAGCAACAAACAGCCCCTGCTGCAGCCCCACGAACTGCAGCACTGCTGCCTTCCAGCCCCGGCTAGCTAGCTGCAGCACGAAAGGCATTGCTGCATGCGAAATGGAAAGAGAAGAGCTCTTGGGAGCGAGGCAGCAGATGTTGGTTGCGGTGTACATACACCTGCCGTTGCTGCTGTAAGTGGGGCTTTCGATCGAGCCCGGCTTCGTAGCAGCAAAGTTGCCGCCTGCTGCAGCAGCAAGGTCCACTGCAGCAGCGCCTGCTGGCAGCAGCTGCTGCTGCTGCTCCGACAGCAGCACGGGGGCCCTTCCTGCTGCTGGAATTGCGCAGCCAAAGACCACCTGGGTGGAGGGCAGGATGGCCTCCAGGTTGGCCTGGGAGTACTGCAGTGTACGTACACTGCTGCTGCTGCTGCTGCTGCTGCTGAGGCGGCTCAGCAGCGCCAAGTCCGAGTCCATCACTGTCACCTGCGCCCCTGCTGCTGCAGCAACTGCTGCAGCACGGGCCCCACAGGGGCCCCCCCCCAGCACCAACACTGAGGTGGGGGGGGCCCCCGGGGTCTGGCCAAACACTAAACCCTCGGAGTTGGCCAACAAGTTTGCTGCTTGCTGCACCCCCAAGTACGCAGCAGTGCAGCAGACTGCGTAGTGGACGGGGGCGAAGGTGGGGTTGCTGCTGCTCACGAGGCTGCTGTAGCAGATCAGCGTTGCTGCTGCTGCTGCCAGCGCCTGCAGCAGCTCCCGCTGCTGCTGCTGCTGCTGCGCGGTCGCAGCAAACGGCACAAAACTAAACAACACCTGCTCACGACGAATGTACTTGTACTCCTCCGTGCTGGGGGGGTTCACCTGCAACACAAACCCGCATGCATCCATGCATGCATGCATGCATGCACGCATGCATGCATGCATGCATGCGTGCACGCGTGCGTGCATGCATGCGTGCATGCGCCCCAGGTGTACGTACACCCGACGCATGCGCCCCAGGTGTACGTACACCCGACGCGGGCCCGGGGTGTACAGACACCGCGGAACAGCGCGAACAGCAAATACAGCAGCAAAACACTGAACAGCAGCAAAACCCTGAACCAACAGCAGCAAAACCCTGAACCAACAGCAGCAAAACCCTGAACCAACAGCAGCAAAACCCTCAACCAACAGCAGCAAAAGCATGAACCAACAGCAGCAAAACCCTGAACCAACAGCAGCAAACCCCCGAACCAACAGCAGCAAAAGCGTGAACCGAGAGCAGCAAAAGCGTGAACCAACAGCAGCAAAAGGCTGAACCAACAGCAGCAAACGGCTGCAGCAAGAGCAGCAAAAGGCTGCAGCAAGAGCAGCAAAAGGCTGCAGCAGCAGCAGCAAAAGGGGACGGACGAGCAGCATGATGTTGGCGTTTTGGTAAACCTGCTCTTTGGTGGCGCACTGCTGAGCGCCGGCCTGTATGTACAGCTGGTCGGGGAAGCCGGCGCGGGCCGCGAAGCCGGACTGGAAGTACACCGCGTGGCCGTGGGCTATCAACTCCTCCGCAAAGGCCGGAGTGAGCATAACGCGGTACTCCAGGGGCCCCTCCATGACGGCTCCGAGGGAGGTTTGTTGGGAGGCAGTGGGGGCCCCCAGGAGGGGGGGGGAGAGCCAGGAAGTTTGGCTCGAAGAGGTGGTCTGGGGCTTCGCGGGCTGCATTTTCGGAGGCGGAACGCGGCGGCTGTGGACTTGTATTATTTATTATTAATTAATCAATTAATTAATTTTTATTTATTTATTTATTTATTTATTTATTTATTCATTTATTTATTTATTAGGCCTATGATGACCCGCTGGCTTTTGCGAATTCGAGATTTTTTCTCTGATGAATATCGGAAAATAATTAATTAATCTGTTTTTCCCAACTTTAAACGCGGAAGACGGGGAAATAGAACGCAAGGCGCTCGCGCGCGAAGTTTCGAAACGCGCAGCAGCTGTATAGACACCTGACCACCGGCTGTAGTGACCTTCGTCGCCACCCCTCGAGGCTTAGTAACGCGAAAGGGCATGAATAATATAGAATATTTTAAGGTAAAAGGCACCATTAGATATTGGGAAATTATAAAAGGAAATAGTGAGCTATTTCCTTTTATAATTTCCCAATAGATATTGGGAAATTATAAAAGGAAATAGTGAGCTCGCTAGCCAACACCGGGTATGGGGCTGGATGCGAGGTTGGTGCCGTGACTCAGGGCGAGAGTTTTATGATATACAGCTTAAGTTTAGGGTTTAGTGTTGACGCATTCGGCGATAATCACCAGTATAATACCATTAAATGCGTTTTAAATAAAGCATTTTAATATCTTTTGGCTTTTTTGAATAGATCTGGCTTTTAAGGTACCCTCAGCGAGGGTCAACAGTCAGTTCTATTATTCTGGGTTTTTCTTACCTTTCAATAATATGAACTCAATTGTATATGCCTATTCAGGGTATACAGTAGTGGTTGGCGAGAATCATGGACTTTAGACAGCAGGTGCAGAGTGTGCACTTAAGTCCGACTAGCCCAGGGACCATACGTGGTAACAGCAGCTCAGGTGACCTTCAGCAGCAGGCTGGGAAGCAGCGGGAAAACGCTGAAAAGAGTTTGAAATGCAGATTTATTCATAAATTAAATAAAATAGAAATAATTTAAAGAGTTGAATTTGCGATTTTTGCATTTGAAACAGTGGCGAGCGCCCCGTCCGTCTGCAGTGTCTGTACGGTCCGCTGTTCACTACACCGGCGCTCGCGCCACGCCACCGAACAACAGATTCCGCCCTTAAAATGCGTCTTTTTTAATTCTTTCAAAAATATATTTACTTTTAATTCAAATTTCAAACATTTCGAGCCTTTAAGCGCCAATTTAACTCAAATAGGCGCCGCTCATCTGCGCACGCGAGCGGCGTGCGCAGGGGTTGCGGTGTACAGACACTGCAGACGGACGGGGCGCTCGCCACTGTTTCAAATGCAAAAATCGCAAATTCAACTCTTTAAATTATTTCTATTTTATTTAATTTATGAATAAATCTGCATTTCAAACTCTTTTCAGCGTTTTCCCGCTGCTTCCCAGCCTGCTGCTGAAGGTCACCTGAGCTGCTGCTGCTGCTGCGTCGTTCCTTCAGGTGTAACCTCCCGTCCGAGCTTTAATGCAAGTTCGAATTGATTTCTTTTATTATTTCTTTTCTAATAATACAAATCAGAATTAAATTGTTCCATTTAATTATATTTTTTCGTCTTAGTTCGAAGAACAGACACTGAAAGCGCTGCAAATGCAAATTGGCTGCAGCAGATAAGTGGAAACGCAAATAGACTTTTGAAACTCCCCTGCTGAGGTGTATGTACAGCTGAAAAATAGACAAATTTGCAACTCGCCGAGAGACAGCTCAGGAAATTTGACATTTAAATTCAAATTTAACTTTTTCAAATTTTAAAAAGCTTCCAAATTCTCCCCCAAAAGTTTCCTTTTGATTTGCTGCGTTTTGATCCTCTTGTGGTGTATGTACACCAAGCTGCAGATTGAATTGAAACTAATTCAGAGCGTCTCGGGTGTACAGACACCCCAGTGCGCAGGTCTTTGCCTACTTTATTCTTTAGCAGCTGCAGCAGCAGCAGCAGCAGGAGACACTTGCTGTAATTTCACAGCAGCGGCAATAGCAGCAGCAGCAGCAGCAGCAGGAGACACTTGCTGTTCCTTAGGAGCAGCAGCAGCAAGAGGCAGCAGCAGGAAGCAACACTTGCTGTCACTTAGCAGCAGCAGCAGCAGGCACATGCTATGTTTTAACAGCAGCAGCAGCAGCAAAAGACACTTGCCGTCCCTCAGCGGCAGCAGCAGCAGCAGCAGGCACTCGTCGCCCTTTAACAGCAGCAGCAGAAGCAGCAGGAGACACTTGCCGTCTCTTAGCAGCAGCAGCAGCAGCAAGAGACACGCGCCGTCTCATGGCAGCAGCAGCAGCAGCAGCAGCAGCAGCAGCAGCACGAGACAGTAATGGCGTTTGTTGCATTTGTTGCATTTTTAATTATCATTTGTGCATGCAAAAGAGATGCATGCAGCAGCTATTGCCAAGTAATTCCATGAAAATATATTTACTTTCATAATAAGTTACTTTCAAAAGTACCTTTTTGTGGCAGCAGCAGCAGCAGCAGCAGCAGCAGCAGCAGCAGCGAGAGGACCTCCTGCTGCAGCTCTTCACCTTCGAAGTTTCTTTTTTTCTTTTTATCTCTTTCTCTTTTTGCCTTTTCTTCTGCAGCTCTTTTATGAAAATAATTTTAATTTAATTCTTTTATATTTCCCTTTAGGCCTACACATGCACATGGATTTACTAATGCAGCAGCAGCAGCAGCAGCAGCAGCAGCAGCAGCAGCAGCAGCAGCAGCAGCAGCAGCAGCAGCAGCAAGGAGCTGCGGTAGCCGATTATCTTTGGGTCTTTGAAGCAAATGAAATTTCATTTTTAAAATATTTTTTATTCAAATAAAAATGCTGCCTTCGGGAGGCACTTTCAGTGTACGTACACCTCAAAGGGCCTTAAAAAAGCTAGCTAGCCAGCCACTGGCAGGGCTAGCTTGCTGGCTAGCTAGCTGCCCAGCTAGCTAGCTAGCTAGCTAGCTAGCTGGCTAGCTGTCTAGCTAGCTAGCTACGCGTCTGCATACTTAGCAAGCAAGAAAACTAGCTAGCCAGCTAGCTAGCTAGATGTTTAATTATATCGCTAGCTAGCCGCACACACAAGTGCCCAGCTCTCTCGCTAGCTAGCTAGCCGGCCTGCCTAATGCCTGGTCAACAAGTTAGCTAGCTAGCTAGCTAGCCAGCCTGCCTAATGCCTGGTCAACAAGTTAGCTAGCTAGCTAGCTAGCTAGCCAGCTAGCTCCAGGACCGCCGCGCAGACCAAGAACCCTGCCAGCCAGCCAGCCAGCCACCTAGATAGCTAGCCAGCAAACTAGCCGGCTAGCTAGCTAATTAGCTAGCTAGCTAGCTAGCTAGCTAGCTGGCTAGCTAGCGAGCTAGCTAGCTGCTTGCTTCATGAGGCTTCCTCTTCGGGGCAAGGCCAGGGCTTGAGCCTCTCCACCCACTCCTTCGAAGTTTGCCCAGCTAGCCAACCCCCTTTGCTGCCCGTGTGCTGCAGGAACGAACGCTCCTGCAGCAGCAGCAGCAGCAGCAGCAGCAGCAGCAGCAGTTCAGCAGCAGCAACGCAGCACATTGGAAGCGCGGGCTCCGCCGGAAAGGCAGCTGCAACAGGGGCAGCACAGCACCAACAAAAACAGCAGCAACAGCAGCAGCAACAGCAGCAGCAACAGCAGGAACAGTAGCAGCAGCAGCAGCAGCAACAGCAGCAGCAGCAGCAACAGCAGCAGCAGCAGCAGGCTAACCAAGTACTGCAGGCGCCGCAGCAGCTCTGCTGAAGAAACCCCTGAGGGTTGGGGGCCCCCCTCTGTTGGGGGCCCCTCCTTGATGGCGACGCAGACCTCATTTACGTCCTGCAGCAGCATTCCAACAGCCCACCAGCTAGCTAGCTAGCTAGCTAGCTAGCTAGATGGCTAGCTGGCCACCTGACTTGCTAGCTAGCTGGCTTGCTAGCTAGCTCGCTAGCTATCTAGCTACCTGGCTAGGTGGCTGGCTAGGTGGCTTGCTAGC